CCAGTTTTCAAAGGGAATGCTTCCAGTTTTTGCCCATTCAGTATGATATTGGCTGTGGGTTTGTCATAAATAGCTCTTATTAGTTTGAGATACGTCCCATCAATACCTAATTTATTGCGAGTTTTTAGTATGAAGGGCTGTTGAATTTTTTGAAGGCCTTTTCTGCATCTATTGAGATAATCGTGTGGTTTTTGTCTTTGTTTCTGTTTATATGATGGATTACGTTTATTGATTTGCATATGTTGAACCAGCCTTGCATCCCAGGGATGAAGCCAACTTGATCATGGTGCATAAGCTTTTTGATGTGCTGCTGGATTCGGTTTGCCAGTATTTTATTGAGGATTTTTGCATCGATGTTCTCGGATATTGGTCTCTAGAAATATTTTTTTTTTTTGGTTGTGTGTCCTGCCAGCGTTTGTAACAGAGTATGCTGGCCTCAATAAAATGAGTGAGAGAGAATTCCTTCTTTTTTCTTTGAGGTGAATAGTTTCAGAAGGAATGTCCCAGCTCCCTTTTGTACCTTGATTAGAATTCAGCGGTGAATCCATCCTGGTCCTGGACCTTTTTTGTGGTAGGCTCTTAATATTGAACCTCGAATTTCAGGAGCCTGGTTATTGGTCTATTCAGGGATTCAACTGTCTTCCTGTTTAGTATTGGGAAGGTGTAATGTGTCCAGGAATGTATCACATTATTCGTATATTCCGAGTTTATTTGCTAGAGGGTTTATAGTATTCTCTGATGGGTTAGTTTTGTATCTCTGTTGGATACATTGGTATATCCCCTTTAGTATTTTTTTATGTGTCTATTTGATTCTTCTCTCTTTTCTTCTTTTTAGTTTATGCTAAGATGGTTGATTAATTTGTCTGATCTTTATCAAAACCAGCTCCTGGAATTCATTGATTTTGAAGGATTTTTTTTTTCTGATCTTTATTGGTTTAAAGTCTGTTTTATCAGAGACTAGGATTGCAACCCCTGCTTTTTTTTGTTTTCCATTTGCTTAGTAGATCTTCCTCCATCCCTTTGTTTTGAGCCTGTTTGTGTCTCTGCACGTAAGATGGGTCTCCTGAATACAGCACACTGATGGGTCTTGACTCTTTATCCAATTTGCCAATCTGTGTCTTTTAATTGAAGCATTTAGCCCTTTTACATTTAAGGTTAATATGGTTATGTGTGAATTTGATCCTGTCATTATGATGTTAGCTGGTTATTTTGCTCATTAATTGATGCAGTTTCTTCCTAGCATCGATGGTCTTTACAATTTGGCATGTTTTTGCAGTGACTGATATCGGTTGTTCCTTTCCATGTTTAGTGCTTCCTTTAGGAGCTGTTGTAAGGCAGGCCTGGTGGTGACAAAATCTCTCAGCATTTGCTTGTCTGTAAAGGATTTTATTTCTCCTTCACTTATGAAGCTTAGTTTGGCTGGGTATGAAATTCTGGGTTGAAAATTCTTTTCTTTAAGAATGTTGAATATTGGCCGCCCCCGCTTCTGGCTTGTAGAGTTTCTGCCGAGATCCGCTATTAGTCTGGGCTTCCCTTTGTGGGTAACCTGACCTTTCTCTCTGGTTGCCCTTAACATTTTTTCCTTCATTTCAACTTTGGTGAATCTGACAATTATGTGTCTTGGGGTTGCTCTTCTCAAGGAGTATCTTTGTGGTATTCTCTGCATTTCCTGAATTTGAATGTTGGCCTGCCCTACTAGGTTGGGGAAGTTCTCCTGAAGAGTGTTTTCCAACTTGGTTCCATTCTCCCCATCACATTCAGGTACACCAATCAGAGGTAGATTTGGTCTTTTCACATAGTCCCATATTTCTTGTAGGCTTTGTTCATTTCTTTTTACTCTTTTTTCTCTAAAATTGTCTTCTCACTTCATTTCATTCATTTGATCTTCAATCACTGACACCCTTTCTTCCAGTTGATTGAATTGGCTACTGAAGCTTGTGCATGCATCACGTAGTTCTTGTGCCATGGTTTTCAGCTCCGTCAGGTCATTTAAGGTCTTCTCTACACTGGTTATTCTAATTAGCCATTTGTCTAATCTTTTTTCAAGGTTTTTAGCTTCTTTGCAATGGGTTCGAACATTCTCCTTTAGCTCGGAGAAGTTTGTTATTACGATCATCTGAAGCCTTCTTCTCTCAACTCATCAAAGTCAGAGTTTTGTTCTGTTGTTGGCAAGGAGCTGCGTTCCTTTGGAGGAGAAGAGGTGCTCTGATTTTTAGAATTTTCAGCCTTTCTGCTCTGGTTTCTCCCCATCTTTGTGGTTTTATCTACCTTTGGTCTTTGATCATGGTGACATACAGATGGGCTTTTGGTATGGATGCCCTTTCTGTTCGTTAGTTTTCCTTCTAACCATCAGGATCATCAGCTGCAGGTCTGTTGGAGTTTGCTGGAGGTCCACTCCAGACCCTGTTTGCCTGGGTATCACCAGCAGAGGTTGCAGAACCACAAATATTGCAGAACAGCCTTGTTGCTGCCTGATCGTTACTGTGGAAACTTTGTCTCAAGAGGGGAGCCTGGCCATATGAGGTGTCAGTCAGCCCCTACTGGGAGATGCCTCCCAGTTAGGCTATTCTGGGGTCAGGGACCCACTTAAGGAGGCAGTCTGTCCGTTCTCAGATCTCAAACTCTGTGCTGGGAGATCCACTACTCTCTTCAAAGCTGTCAGACAGGGACGTTTAAGTCTGCAGAAGTTTCTGCTGCCTTTTGTTCAGCTATGCCCTGCCCTGAGAGGTGGAGTCTAAAAAGTCAGGCAGGCCTCCTTGAGCTGTGGTGGGCTCCACCCAGTTTGAACCTCCCACCACTTTGTTTACCTACTCAAGCCTCAGCAATGGCAGGTGCCCCTCCCCCAGCCTCACTGCTGCCTTGCAGTTAGATCTCACACTGCTGTGCTAGTCCCATCATGGGTGTGGGACCCTCTGAGTCAGGCGCAGGATATAATCTCCTGGTGTGCCGTTTGCTAAGACCGTTCAGAAAGCACATTATTAGGGTGGGAGTGACCCGATTTTCCAGGTGCTATCTGTCATGGCTTCCCTTGGCTAGGAAATGGAATTCCCTAACCCCTTGCACTTCCCAGGTGAGGCAATGCCTTGCCCTGCTTCAGCTCAGTCTGTGGGCTGCACCTGCTCTCCTGCACCCACTGTCCGACAAGCCCCAGTGAGATAAACCCGGTATCTCAGTTGGAAATGCAGAGATCACGCGTCTTCTGTGTTGCTCACGCTGGGAGCTGTAGACTGGAGCTGTTCCTATTCAGCCATTTTGGAAACTTCCCCGGATCTATTGTTCTTAATACCCATTTTATTTCCCAATCTGCCCCCGACATCCAGCGCAAACTTAAAAAGGCTGAAGATGGCCCTCAAATCCCACAACAAGACCTCCTTAACGTGGCTTTCAAAGTCTTTAGTCACAGGGATCAGCAAAATAAATTAGACAAAACCCAAAGAGATCATGCTAAATACCAGCTTTTAGCACAGCTATCTGTCAACCTAGCCATGGTACCCAAGGGCACAAAAGACCTGACAGCAACAATCCTCCTGGGCTTTGTTTTAAGTGTGGCATAGAAGGCCCCTGGGTGCAGGCATGTCCCAACCCATGAGTGCTGAAGAGCCCTTGCCCAGTCTGCCAGCAGACTGGCCACTGGAAGTCTGACTGTCCTCTCAACAGATGGACAGAAAACCCTGCTCCTCAGAGCTACCATTCCTTCAATAAGACAAAAAGTGAAGAACCGCTTGCACTCCCATAGCTCCTTGGCCTAGCCACTGAAGACTGATGAGGCCCAGGGCTCCCGGCCCCCACTGCAATCACTGCATTGGAGCCCAGGGTAACTCTACTAGCAGCAGGTAAGCCGATCTCTTTTAATCAATAGCAGGGCCACCTACTTGGCTTTGCCTGAGTTCTCAGGACTGACTCATCCCTCTCAAATGATGGGGTAATCAGACCCAACACTAGGCCCTGGGGGCTACTAAGTCCAGCGGAGTCAAAGGAATGAGAAAAGACAAGGTAAGAGTGCATAAGGTGGGTCCAGGGGGCCAACGCTGGTATGGAGGCTGAGAAGGCCCCGAGCTCTGGGAACCCACACTATTTATTGGTGATCAAACAAAGAAGAAGGTGGTGAGGACGTGCAGATGTGGGGATAGAAAGGTAGTGGTGCATCAAGCATAGCTGTGATGGTTTAGTGTTTTCTTTGACGCATATAGAATATGCTCTGCTGCTTGAGATAATGGAGAACATGTTTACAAGCCTGGGAGAGCAACCAACACGAAGTCTGTGCACATTCCAGAGGCTATGAGGGGTTTTATGCCCTGAGCTCTGGATTCCATCCAAGCCAGGAGGGGTTTTATGCCCTGGACTTAGATTTGTGGTACAGCAGGGCAGCCTTCCACCCTTTGGCACAGAGTTTGGTGTTCCAAAGGCCATGAGGAGTTTTAGACCCTAGATCCCGGACATCTTCTAATTTTTACATTGGAAAAATTCCATCTTTTACATTATGACAGACAAGCCAGTCCTGCCTCAGTTCTTCTACCAACATGCCTCCCTTTTCTTTTTTGCAAAACCACCACAGTTATTATTGCTTGCTCTTGGCGGTGGCTTTCTCTCCAGAGGTGGCTTCTGCATCTGCAAACTATATAAAGACAAACAACACAGATTTAAAGCACAATCATAATTGAAATCACGGAGCCTCCAAGTGTCTTGATCCATTTTAACAGGTTAATAGCTGCTAATCCACCTGCAGCTCCTTCAAGCACTTCAATTCCTGGCATTCGTGTCAGATGTCCCTGAGAGGCTTGAAATACTTATTCCTTCAGTTTTGCAATATCCAAAGATAAATGTCCGGTATGACCTTTTAAATGTCTCTTAACTTTTTCTTACTCATGCTCTGTTTTATTATACAGACGAGGAGTAATGTAAAAATCAGAGGTATTTCAATCACCTTGCATTTGAATTTTACTTTTTAAACTTACATACAATCTCCCATTCGAATCACTGTGTGGAGATCATTAATTTGGTTAACTATTTTTTTTATTTATTTGAGTTTGAGAGTTCCATAATTTTGTGGAATTCTTTTGCCACTTACTGACAAATTTAACAGTTTGTACAGATGAATGTAGAGCCACACCAGCTATTGCAGCAGTAGTAGTAACAGCAGTGAGGCCAATTGTAGCAACTATGAGAGCAACTATAAATCTTTTTGAGTGGGATAAAAGTTTTTTAAGGATTTCACTTACTATATGAATGGATGGAGATACCTCCCATGGTCTATTTTTTTTTTTTAGATGGAGTCTCGCTCTGTCCCCCAAGCTGGAGTGCAGTGGCCGGATCTCAGCTCACTGCAAGCTCCGCTTCCTGGGTTCACGCCATTCTCCTGCCTCAGCCTCCTGAGTAGCTGGGGCTATAGGCGCCCGCCACCTTGTCTGGCTAGTTTTTTGTATTTTTTAGTAGAGACGGGATTTCACCGTGTTAGCCAGGATAGTCTCGATCTCCTGACCCAGTGACCCGTCCGCCTCGGCCTCCCAAAGTGCTGGGATTACAGGCTTGAGCCACCACACCCGGCCTCCCATGGTCTATTTAAAGACATGGGGATCCAGACTCCTTCCCTGGCTTTAATTATTAGGATAATCTGGTTTTTATTAAAAGTTGAATTAATGCAGGTAAACAAATGACATTCAGGGCATGAAATAAAGTGTGTATTTATATCAAGAGTAACATTTCCTATTGCTAGCACAAAAGGTGACCAGACACAACTTTGAATCCAAAAAGTCCTGTTGGAAAGAAAAGGAAGAGCATATTTATTTTTACCTCCCTCCCCTTTATACTTGTTACATTTACTCTCTCAAATTTTGGTTGAACTTTGAGCCATAGCTAATTTCCATAATTCAGAATGTCCCTGTCCCATGGCAGGAGATATTATTTTTGGACTAGGGCCAACAGTGCCACTAGGACTCCATGATAGGGACCTCAGCTTTTGTCCGAATATATTGTGTATGATTTAATTGCCAATGGTTCCATCAGTTTATTACATTTGTTCTATAAGAAGGCCTTCTGTTGCAATTTTTTTTAAAGATCCCCTTAGTGGGATCTTTGTTAATTAGTCCTCTTAGGGGACTAATTAATGATGATTCGATAGGAATTATTTTGTAACACCTCAGCCTTACTTGCTATACAATCTTCCTAAGTTCAAGCGTCCTTACCTTTAAACTAAACTCTATTTTGTTTATATTTGAACTTATTCAGATGGAACTGCAGGGTTTTAGGATGGGAATGATTATATTTTAAACTATGCCCCAAAATCATATGCAAAGCAGCCCATGATTTATTTTTTTGGGGACTACTGCCAACCAGGCCTGTGTGTCAATCTGTAAACATCCAACAGCAGGTCCCAGGCATATTGGGGGATACTTATATTCTATGGATATATTTATTTTTATCCCTTCCTCATTAGGATGCATTGGCCCTTGGTTATCTATGTGCTCAGGTATCCAGGTACTGTCGTGGGTGTACACCTTAATAACAGGGTCCATCCAACTCACAGACCTAATTAAAGGAGGAAATGGGACATATGCCCAATAAGTGAAATTCTGAGTTGCTCCTGTAGTAGGGAGGCTTACTACCATGGTGAGTACCGCCAGCATGGCCACCATCAGGTTACTAGTTGTCTTTAGTTTGTTCTGTGCTTTCAAGTTGTCCTTTGCCACCTGTGCCAACTTCTTGATTTGTCCCCATGTTGGAGAATTTGCCTGATGACTATTATTGGTTTTCTCCTTCATCTCTGAGATGTTTATTTGCACCATCACTTGTATCAAGAGTTCTGGACTCTTCCCAGATGACTCTTCCCAGAGCCCTGTCTTCCTGCTGTAGCTAATGATAGATTTTCAGATGTTTGGTGGGCACCCATACAGGCACCTGATTGTTACCTGGAGAGATACAAGCAAATCCTCTTCCCCATATAATTATCCACCCTTTGATTAAGTTTAGTTAAAGGGCCAGGGCGGTTAGTATGTGCTCTCATATGAGTGCTATAGAAAGGGGAATGCCTTTGTTGTACTGCTTGCTGTAAAGAATGAAATAAAAGATTAAGTTGGTCATTAGTCACATTTTGAATTAAGGCACATTCAATATTTTGTGTGGCTTGCACTACATAGACTGAATCAGAAACAGTGTTTATTGTCTGTTTAAAAGATTGTGACACTGTTATCACAGTCATAAGTTCAGCATTTTGAGCAGAAGCAAAGTCAGTTTGAAAAACTTGTTGTTGGGCCGGGCGCGGTGGCTCAAGCCTGTAATCCCAGCACTTTGGGAGGCCGAGACGGGCGGATCACGAGGTCAGGAGATCGAGACCATCCTGGCTAACACGGTGAAACCCCGTCTCTACTAAAAATACAAAAAACTAGCCGGGCGAGGTGGCGGGCGCCTGTAGTCCCAGCCTCCGGGAGGCTGAGGCCGGAGAATGGCGTGAACCCAGGAGGCGGAGCTTGCAGTGAGCTGAGATCCGGCCACGGCACTCCAACCTGGGCCGCAGAGCGAGACTCTGCCTCAAAAAAAAAAAAAAAAAAAAAGAAAAACTTGTTGTTGAGGTCCCACAAATGAAGCCTTTCCATTACTAGATCCATCAAATAAAAACAGTAATGGCCCCTTCAATAAGTGCTTTTTGAGTAATGGAAGGCAATATCCATGATCTTAATTTAAGAAATTGGAATATTTTGGATGTAGGATAATGATTATCAAGGATAATAAAACCTGCCAAATTAACTTGCCATTCCTGGGAATTAATGTAAGCTTGCTCAATTTGTTGTTTGTTTAATGGAACTGTAATTTGATTGGATTATATCCCATTAACTTTGTTGTGCACAGCCTTGCTTGTCCTATTAGTACAGCAATTTGATCTAAGTACAGAGGAAGCGTTTTGGTTGTATTGTGAGGTAGAAAAAGCCACTCAACCAGACCATTCTGTTGAACAATAACTCCTGTAGGTGAATATTTAGTAGGAAAAACTAAAAACTGTAATGGTTGCACAGGGTCAATTCGAGTCACTTGTGCCTGTGGAATTTTTTCTTCAATTAATTGAAGTTTCTCTAATGCCTCTTTGGACAGGGAGTGTTTACTGTTTAAGTTAGAATCACCTCGTAAGGTAGAAAAGTGGTGAGACATAGCATAAGTAGGAATGCCTAAAGTGGGATGAATCAAATTAATATCTCCTAATAAATTTTGAAAATCATTTAGGGATTTTAAATTATCTCTTCTAATTTGAATCTTTTGAGGCTTAATAGTACTTTGTTCTACTTTCATTCCTAAATACTGAAAGGGCATAGAAGTTTGGATTTTATCAGGGGCTATGATTAACCCTGCTGCAGTTACAGCCTTTTCCTCCCTAGTTTCAGCTGCACATAAAATAGCATCCATGTAATGGATAATACAACATTTTTTGAATTATTCTCTAACTGGTTTAATAGCTTTTCTGACATAAGTTTGACAAATAGTAATACTTTCCAATGGTATTCATCCGCTGGTTCTTTGTTATTTATAGCGGGAATAGTAAAAGCAAGTTTTTCCTAATCTTGGGTAGCTAAAGGAATAGTAAAGAAGCAATCTTTTGAATTTATCACTATTAGAGGCGAGGATTTAGGAATCATAGTTGGGGAGGGCATCCCTGGTTGCCGCACGCCCGTGGGTTGAATTACAGCATTAATGGCCCTCAAATCTGTCAACATTCTCCATTTCCCTGATTTTTTCTTAATAACAAACACAGGAGAATTCCAAGGAGAGAAAGTAGGCTCTATGTGTCTCTTTTGTAATTGTTTCTGTACCAATTCTTTTAAAGCCTCCAGTTTTTCCTGTTTCAGTGGCCATTGCTCCACCCAAACTGGTTTGGCAGTTAACCAAACAAGAGGAGTGGGAGCCGGAGGCTCAGCCATGGCTGCTCCTAAAAATGATACCCTAATCCAGTTTGATCTGTTTGTCCTTTTAGTTCTAAAGGTTCTGGTTGGCCATTTTCATTTTTTCCTAGTCCCTTCCCTGGGAGATATCCCATTTTTCTCGTCTTTTGTTTATTGTTACTACTATACTAATCCATAGGAGAGATATTTTAGCACCCCATTGTTGTAATAAGTCTCTATCCCATAGGTTGACAGGAATAGGTCTAATAATAGGTTGAATTGTCCCTTCTTGGCAATTCAGCCCTTGGCATGGCAAAATTAAATAATGAAAAACTTCTGAGGCAGCCCCTACTCCAACAATACCAATGGATGCCTTTTGCTTAGGCCAATGCTGGGGCCATTGATTTAAACCAATAACAGAGACATCAGCTCCAGTATCTACTAACCCTTCAAAGTTCTTTCCTTGAATGGTTACTGTACACATAGGTCTCTTATCAGACACTTGATTAACCCAATATACAGCTTCTGCTGGATTAGTCCTACCAAAGTCTCCTATTCTTTTTACTGTCCTGCTTCCTAGTTTTGCATAAGGTAACAGTAACAACTGAGCAATTCTTTCTCCTGGGGAAGCAGACCATGGAATTGAGGAACTAATAACTAATTTAATCTCCCTGGTGTAATCAGAATCAATTATTCCTGTATGTACAGTGATACCTCTGAAATTTAAACTAGACCTTCCAAGCAATAGACCAACTGTTCCTGAGGGTAAAGAGCCCCTAACTCCCATGGGGACGTTCTTTGGTGACTCCCCAGGAAGTAGGGAAACAGGAACTGCTGCAAAGATCTGTGGCGGCACGGTCTGCTGTGGCAGGGGACAATTATTGTACGTTTGTAAGGGCACTGAGTGTACCAGATATGCCTCGGTTTGTTGAGGGGCCTGCCTCGGGCCCCTCTTCCTGTTTCCCAAAAGAGGTTGCCCATCTTTGCTAAATTTAGAATGACACTGATTTGTCCAGTGATTGCCCTTCTTACACTGGGGGCATACACTGGGACTTTTCTGTTGATTGATGGTAATAGTTTTAGCCTTTTGATTTCCTTTTCTACATTCCTTTTTTGTGTGTCCAAATTTCCCACAATTAAAACAAGAGCCTGAGAAAAGGGGCATATTTTTTTCCACCTTTAGTCCAGCCATAGCTTGGGCTAAAATAGTAGCCTTATTTAAGTTACCTCCAATGCCATCACAAGCCTTAATATATTCAGCCAAATGAGCCTTCCCTCTCATAAGTCTAATAGCATTTTGACACTCTGTATTGGCATTATCCTATGGAAGGAGTTGTATTACCACATCTTGAGCTGTTTTATCAGTTATGGCTTTATGCATGGCCTCTTGGAGCTGAGCAATAAAGTCAGTATATGGTTCTTTAGGTCCTTGTCAGACAGAACTGAAAGAAGGACACTTTTTCCCTGTAACATTTATTTTTTTTCCATACCTGTAAACACACAGTGTGTAACTGAACAATGGCAACATTTTTCATTACTGCTTGATTGTCTCATCGGCCCCAATTAGGGCCCAATCCCATTAATTGTTCAAAGGAAACAGGCACAGGCAGCTGTGCTTGTGTGTTTTCTCTTGCTTGAGTTTGAGCTTCATCAGCCCACTAAGTTTTAAACTGCAAGTACTGGGATGGAGTGAGAATGGGTTTTGTTAAAGTATCCCAATCATATGGTATTAATCTATTATCAAGAGCCACATTTTTTAGTAAAGTTCGTACAAAAGGAGAATTTGGCCCATATTGACTAATGGCTTGCTTAGATTCCTTTAACAACTTAAAAGGAAAAGTGGCCCAATTAGCTACATTCTGTCCTCCTTGTTGGGTTATAGTAACTGGAAATTGCCATGCTTCAAGGTTTCCCTCGGCTCTAGCCTTTTGAATAGAATTTTGTATAGCATCACCAATCACTCCAGGTTTTCATGTTGCAACTATAGGAGCAGTAAGTTTTTCAGCTAATTCATTTTCTTGCCCACTAAGGGAAAGGGAGGAGGTGGCCATTCACTTAATTCAGGAGGTGGAACCGACAGGCTAGTGAAATGTACCTTTTTCAGTTTCCCTTTCTTTTATTTAATTTCCTCTGGTTCCTGTTCCTCACATTCAGAATCTGAAGTTAATTTTTCACACTTGTCTGCCTCTTCCTCATCTGAACCTGCCTCATCATCTGTTTGAAATGGCTTAAGAGCTGCCTTTATCAACGCCCACACTGACCAAAAAGACACTGGAATTTGGCTCCTTCTTTATGTGCCTTTTAAAAATCTTTGCCAATTCTTTCCCATTCATCCAACTCCACTGTCCCTTGTTCTGGGAATCATGGGCAAAACTACTCCACAGTACCAAAGAGTGTTAATAAATTCTGAGTACTAACTTACACTCCCCCTCTCCATAATAAATGCCTTAAGAAATTTAAATAACCAAGGACGGGCGCGGTGGCTCATGCCTGTAATCCCAGCACTTTGGGAAGCTGAGGCAGGCGGATCACAAGGTCAGGAGATCGAGACCATCCTGGCTAACACAGTGAAGCCCCATCTCTACTAAAAATACAAAAAATTAGCCAGGCGTGGTGGCACACACCTGTAGTCCCAACTACTCAGGAGGCTGAGGCAGAAGAATGGCGTGAACCTTGGAGACACAGCTTGCAGTGAGCCGAGATCGCACCACTGCACTCCAGCCTGGGTGACAGAGCAAGACTCTGTCTCAAAAAATGTAGGGACCAGCCCTACAGGACCTGTGGGTTTTTCTCCTCATGTGCAGAGATGAGAGATCATAGAAATAAAGACACAAGACAAAGAGATAGAAAAAAAAGACAGCTGGGTCCGGGAGACCACTACCACCAAGATGCAGAGGCCAATAGTGGCCCCAAATGCCTGGCTGCACTGCTATTTATTGTATACAAGGCAAGGGGGCAGGATAAGGAGTGTTAGTCATCTCCAATGATAGGTAAGGTCATGCAAGTCATGTGTCCACCAGACAGGGGGCCCTTCCCTGTTTGGTAGCCGAGGCGGAGAGAAAGAGGGGACAGCTTAGGTCATTATTTCTTCTATGCATTTCTTGGAGAGATCAAAGAGTTTAACATTCTCACTAATTCTGCTACTGCTCTCTAGAAGGCGGAGCCAGGTGTACAGGGTGGAACATGAAAGTGGACCAGGAGTGTGACTGCTGAAGCACAGCACAGGGAGACGTTTAGGCCTCCGGATGGCTGTGGGTGGGCTTGACTGATGTCAAGCCTTCCACAGGAGGTGGTGGAGCAGAGTCTTCTCTAACTTTCCTGGTCTGTTAAGTAACGGGTGCCTTCCCAGGCACTGGTGTTACCGCTAGACCAAGGTCTGCTAAGTAACGGGTGCCTTCCCAGGCACTGGTGTTACCACTAGACCAAGGAGCCCTCTAGTGGCCCTGTCCAGACGTGACAAAGGGCTTACACTGTCTTCTGGTCACTTCTCACCATGTCCCTTCAGCTCCTATCTCTGTATGGCCTGGTTTTTCCTAGGTTATAATTGCAAAGCAGAGATTATTATAACATTGGAATAAAGAGTAATGCTACCAACTAATTATTGATAATATTCATATATAATCATGTCTATATTCTATGTCTAATATAACTATTCTTATTTTAGGTATTTTCTTTATTGAACAGCTTGTTTCTTTATTGAACAGCTTCATTCTCTTGTCTCACCACCTGGGTGGCTTGCTGCCCACAAAAAAAAAAAAAAAAAGAAATTTAAATAAGCAGAATGTTTACTTTCATTCTGTCCCATTGTTGCACTGGTTCTTCTGAGAGCCCAGCTTACCTGCCGAACTTCTTTCAGTCGTCCTCGGGTGTCCTCTGACAATACATCCTCTGCTTCTGCATGCTCTAGTATTCCTTCACCAGGGTCTTCACAGCCCCATGTTGGGCGCCAGAAATGTTGGGATGATCAGACCCAACACTAGGCCATGGGGGCTACGAAGTCCGGTGGAGTCAAAGGAAAGAGAAAAGACAAGGTAAGAGTGCATAAGGTGGGTCCAGGGGGCCAACGCTGGTATGGAGGCTGAGAAGGCCCCGAGCTCTGAGAACCCACACTGTTTATCAGTGATCAAACAAAGAAGAAGGTGGTGAGGACGTGCAGATGTGGGGGTAGAAAGGTAGCAGTGCATCAAGCATAGCTGTGATGGTTTAGTGTCTTCTTTGATGCATATAGAATATGCTCTGCTGCTTGAGATAATGGAGAACATGTTTACGAGCCTGGGAGAGCCACCAACATGAAGTTTGTGCACATTCCAGAGGCTACGAGGGGTTTTATGCCCTGAACCCTGGATTCCATCCAAGCCATGAGTGGTTTTATGCCCTGGGCTTAGATTTGTGGTGTGGCAGGGCAGCCTTCCACCCTTTGGCACAGAGCTTGGTGTTCCAGAGGCCACGAGGGGTTTTAGACCCTGGACACCAGACATCTTCCAATACTCTTATATTACAACAGACAAGCCAGTCCTGCCTCAGCTCTTCTACCAACATCAAGTCTTAATTGTGGGGGTTGACTGACTCATCTGACATCCATGCGCCACCAGACCTCTTACTTGTTCCCTGTTTGATACTGTTTTCTCACACTCTTTCCTTATCATGACTCGTTGCCCCATCCCCATCCTAGGCCAAGACCTTTTAGACAAATTCAAAGCTTCTATCACCTTTTCCTGCTCCCCTCAAGCAGAGTCCCTCCTGCTCCTCTCCACTAGTCCGGCCCCTGGCCCCTCTCCCCAGTACCCACTTCCTGCCTCTCTCATTAACCCAGTTGCGTGGGACACCACCACCCTTTCCATAGCTGCTCACCATGACCTCATCAAAATCTGCTTAAAAGGCCCCTCCAAATTTCCCAACGTTCCCCAATACCCAATCTCTCTAACCCACCAAAAAGGCCTACAGACCATCGTAAACAAGCTCTGCTCACACAGTCTTCTTAGACCAACACACTCTCCATGTAACACCCCATCCTCTCTGTTAAAAAACTGATGACTCTGGGCCAGGCGTGGTGACTCATGCCTGTAATCCCAGCACTTTGGGAGGCCACTGTGGGCAGATTGCCTGAGGACAGGAGTTTGAGGCCAGTCTAACCAACATGGTGAAACCCCATCTCTTCTAAAAATATAAAAACATTAGCCAGGTGTGGTGGCATGCATCTGTAATACCAGCTACTCAGGAGGCTGAGGCAGGAGAATTGCTTGAACCAGGGAGGTGGAGGTTGCTGTCAGCCGAGATCACACCACTGCACTCCAGCCTGGGCAACAGAGCAAGACTCTGTCTCAAAAGAAAAAAAAAATCTGATGGCTCATACCAACTCGTTCAGGACCTTGGAGCTATCAATTAGGCTGTCCTCCCTATCCATCCCATAGTCCCTAATCCCTATACACTTCTGTCTCTCGTTCCCACTAGCACCACCCACTATACCACAATTGACCTGAAGGATGCCTTCTTTACCATTCGCCTACACCCTGATTCCCCAAACCTATTTGCTTTCACCTGGACTGACCCTGACACCCTCCAGTCACAGCAACTCACATGGACTGTCCACCCTCAGGGCTTCAGGGATAGCCCTCATTTCTTCAGACAAGCTCTAGCCTGAGACCTCACCTCCTTAAACCTGTCTCCGAGTCTTCTTCTTCAATACGTGGATGACCTTCATCTTTGCAGCCCCTCTCTAAAAGACTCTCAAACTCACACAGCCACTGCTCTCTTAAACTTTCTTGCTATCAAAGGGTATAGGGTCTCCCCGTCCAAGGCCCAACTCTCCACCTCCATGGTGACCTACTTAGGAATTCAACTTTCCCCAGGGCCCAGGCTGTGACTCCAACTGCGGCAACATTAATAGATAATCTATCCCCACCCTCCTCCAAAAGCGAAATCCTTTCCTTCCTATGGCTAGCAGGCTTCTTTAGAATATGGATTCCCAACTTTGCCCTCCTAGCTCATCCCCTCTATGAAGTGACCAAAGGCCCTCACAATGAACCCCTAAACCCCACACATCACATACTCCCCAGCTTTCACAAACTCCAAACCACTCTTGTCACTGCATCAGCTCTATCCTTAGCTGGTATCTCTTAACTTTTCACTCTCTATACTGCCGAAAGCCAAGGAAGAGCCCTCGGTGTCTTAGGACAACAGAAAGGAAGTCCTTCCTTTGCCCCTTTAGCTTACCTCTCTAAACAACTAGATAACACAGTCAAAGGGTGGCCAAACTGCCTTAAAGCGCTAGCAGCAGTTGCCGTTTTAGCTCTAGAAAGCAGGAAACTAACTTTCAGCCAGAATACCGTCATCCACAGTCCTCATAATCTACAAGATCTCCTCTCCTCCCCGAGCATTAAGCTCCCTTCCTCCTTCCTGGATTCAATTACTCCATGCCCTCTTCATCGAAAATCCCGAATCCAGTTTTGCCAAAAGTGCTCCCCCCAACCCAGTATCCTTACTCCCTGTATCCTCTTCCCCTCCTACTAATTATTGCACTGACATTCTGGACCACGTACAGCCACATTTCCCAAACATTTCCTCCGAGCCTCTCACCAACCCCAATGACCAACTATTTATAGGTGGCTCCTCCTCTGGGCCCACCGGCTCCCCCGAAATTGCTGGATATGCAGTTGTTTCCCTTGACCAGTAATTGAAGCCAAGCCCCTACCCCCAGGAACCTCTTCCCAAAAGGCAGAACTCATAGCTCTCACCAGGGCCCTAACCCTTTCCAAAGGCAAACGAGTCAACATTTATACAGACTCCAAGTATGCCTATCACAGGCTTCACTCCCACACCTCTATCTGGCAAGAGAGAGGATTCCTTACTGCCAAAGGAACTCCCATCACTAACAGCCCCCTTATTTACCAACTCCTTCAGGCTGCACACCTCCCAACTAAAGCAGGAGTTATACACTGTCGAGGACATCAAGCAGGATCAGATGCAATCTCAAGAGGGAACAGAAAGGCCGATGAGGCAGTAAAATAATCCTCCCTTTCTTCTGCCCCTCCCCGTCTCCTCCTCGGTATCCCAGCAATCCAACCCAAGTGCTCTCCCACCGAGAAATCTTTACTACTATAGCAAGGAGCCTCCTTTCAAGGGACTGGATAGTCAAAAATCAAAAGCTCGTCCTTCCCCAAGAGCAAACCAAAGAAATTTTGACATATCTTCACCAATCCTTCCATATTGGTGTGTACCCCCTGTACCTACTCCTTTGCCCTCATTTCTCCTCCCCCCATCTATTCACCACACTAAGAGACATAACCTCCAACTGTTGCATATGCTGTGTTACTTCCTCCCAAGGGGCCCTCCACTCTCCCCCTATTCCTACACATCAGCTCAGAGGAACACTCCCAGGGCAGGACTGGCAAGTAGACTTCACCCACATGCCTCCCATCGAGAGGACAAAATTTCTTCTTACTCTTACAGATACTTTCTCTAGGTGGGTAGAAGCATTTCCTACCTTTTCAGAAAAGGCCACAGAAGTCTCCCAAATTATTATAATAGAAATCATCCCTAGATTTGGTCTCCCTTGCTCCATATGATCAGACAGTGGCCCTAGCTAGCTTCATCTCCCAAATCATCCAACAGGTTTCTCAGTCCCTCGGTGTCCAGTGGTGCCTCCATATCCCATACCGGCCCCAGTCATCTGGAAAAGTCAAGAGGGCAAATGGGATCCTTAAGGCTCAGTTGACCAAACTCACTCTTGAAGTCCAAAAACCATGGACCTCCCTTTTGCCCGTAGCACTGGCCCGCATCAGAGCCAGTCCAAAAGCACCCTCATTCCTCAGTCCATTTGGGTTAATGTATGGACGGCCTTTCCTCTGACAAAACAGGTCCCCTTCTAACTCTCAGCTAAGAGAATACCTCCCAACACTCTCGCTTATCCACCATCTCCTCCACTAACAAGCTGACCAGGCCCTCCCAAAACCCCATGAAGGCCCCACCGACCGGACTCTCCTTTCAGAAGAGCGTGTCTTCCTAAAAACTCTTAACCCAACAACCCTTAAACCAAAGTGGGAAGGCCCATTTCAAGTTCTTCTCACTACCCCCACCGCAGCTAAACTCTCAGGACGTATCTCTTGGTACCATCTTTCCAGATTAAAAAGAGCCCCTGAAGCACCCACCAACTCGCTGACTGCCATCCTCTGTCGATTCTCCAGTACTCTCCTTGGCCCAACCAAACTCCGCCTCACACCTGTCCTGAAGAAGACCCTTGAACAATACCCAGACTCCTCCTTGCCTTCCTGACAACCGCAAGTACACTCCTGATGGCTCTTAAATGCTCTGTTCTTGCCTACCTTGCCGCTTCACCCTCTTCCTTATCTCTGTTTGCCAAGACTCTTGGTTTCATCCCCAAACTCCCAATCTTGACTCTCTTTTAGAGTGGATAGATGACCTTCTCTTCCAAGGTACCTTATGTGACTTTTCCCCAGATGAAATGCATTTATGTACCTTCCTACTCACTCTTTGCCTATCTACCTCTCCTACTCCTTGGCTGCCCACATAGCCACACCTCCCCTTCCAATAGTACCCGACTACCTCTCTAAGTCACTTAACCTAACTCACTCCCTGCTACACCAGTCCAACCCCATCCTAACAAGACTGTGTGCTCTGCATCTCCCTATCAACTACCACCTATGTTGCTACCCCCGTTTCCTCAAAAAACTGGGTTCTTACTAAATTAACCTATCACCCCCGTTACGAAGGAGAAAGCCCCTTTCGACTTTTAGACATGCAGTTATTGGCCAAGTTTTCTATCACAGACATGACAAAAAACACTCTGACCGGGCACGCAGTACAACTTTTACGCTCCTGTATCTCCAATCTTACCTAATAGGCAAGTAATAACAAGCCCATTCATGGCCCTGTGACCACCGGTTTAACTTTTCAAGCCGCAATATGTATCCAACACACCCTGTCCTCAGGTCTGCCTTTAGGTCACCTACGGACCCATCAATGTAACTATACCTTACAGCTTCAAGCCACAAACAACCACCAAAATTGTAAGGTCACCCAAACAGCCGAATTTAAACAGCTTGTCAGTTTTTCAGGACCCCCAAACGTCATTACCAGCTCTTTACTAAATAAACATTCAGGATTTTGTAATGGCAGATATATGAGCAGTATGATCATTCACCCATGGACCCCTTACAGCACGGCTCCCCTCCCTGCCAAATGCCTCCTCATACCCTCTTTCAATTACTCCTCTGACTGGCTCCTAATAGACACAGAACGATTCTTTCTCCAGTGGGAAAATAAAACACAAGGAGGCACTCAAACTGTCCCTGCAACTCCTTTTCAGCCACTCACTGGAGCCACCTTAGCAAGGACTCTAGGCATGTGGGAAAATGAAAACAATAAAACAATATACTCTCGCACCTTTCCAATAAACATAACCAGTTCTGTCTGCCCAGTCAAGGCATATTTTTCTTGTGTGGAACCTCAGCCTATGTGTGCCTCCCTGCCAATCGGACCGGCACCTGCACCCTGGTCTTCTTAAGTCCCAAAATTGACATTGCCCCTGGAAATCAGAGTTTACCAGTCTCTGTTAAGGCTCAAGTCTGTCAACGCAGAGCCGTACAGCTAATACCCCTGCTCATAGGACTAGGAACTACCACTGCAACAGCAACAGGGATAGCAGGCTTGTTCACTTCCCTGTCCTACTACCACGCTCTCTCAACAGATCTCTCAGACAGCCTACAACACATAGCTGAATCCATCCTTGCGCTCCAATCCCAAATAGACTCTTTAGCAGCAGTGACACTTCAAAACCGTTGAGGTTTAGATCTCCTCACTGCCAAGAAAGGTGGATTATGCATCTTTTTAGGAGAAGAGTGCTGTTTCTATACTAACCGGTCAGGACTAGTGCAAGATGCCGCCCGATGAATAAATGAAAAAGCTTCTGAAATCAGGCAGTACCTTCCAGACTCCTGGCCCCCATGGTTTCGTAACTCCTGGGCACCATGGCTACCGCCGTTTCTAGGCCCTGCCATAAACCTCTTCCTCCTTTTAGCGCTTGGCCCTTGTCTCTTACGTCTCCTTACCCAGTTTTTACAGGACCGTATTAGAGCCTTCAGCCATGGAACAATACAAGATATGATGCTGCTCCAAGAATACCGACAGCTCCAGGAACGGCAGTCCCTACCACCCAGCCTCTCCCCCTAACTGTCGCCCCTATCCAGCAAGAAGCAGCCAGATAACAACCTGTCGCTTTTCTATTACCTATTAAAAGGCTGGAATGTTAGGGACAAGCTGCCTCAGGACTCCCCCCTCTCCCCACACACAAGGCAGCTGGCCCTGACCCTGAACACTCTGCAGTTGTATTACTGGACCCTTATCTAGGTGTTACAGCAAGGTCACCAGACTTGCTTACAGCTCTCCGGGCAGCATGGGGAAGATCATGAGAAACGTGAATAAACCTAAGTTACACCCTCTTGTAAACTCCTATATTGTAAGCTGGTCACATGACGATATGTGGTAAAGTTAACCGACAAACAACCCCAGGGTCTCTTTCCCCCATATAAACCCCTCATTTTGTAAGCTCAGGCTTTCTTCCTCTGACTGTGGTGAAGCAGCCCGGCACGTTAGTAAACTTAGTCACCTGACCTTGGGTCTCTCTCTGGTCCTTTCTCTCAGCTAACCTTAGAACCACGCTTTCCCAGGAGCTGGCTTCTCAGCAGGTGGGAGTCAAAGGTCCCAGTTCACCTCTGGGTCCAGACCAGCTAAAGCTTCCACCAAGACTGCTGGGGGAGGAACCTGGATGAAGCACTCCAGATCCTCCTGTGAGACCAGAGTCTCTTTCAGCAGAAAAACCCGTTTGGGGGCTTTGGTCCTATTACTAATAGTTCTGTGACCTGCCCTTGGGAACCAGAGGTTTGCTGAGAATTCAGAGCCCAGCTCACTTCCAAGTCCCTGTCTGCATCTTCAGCAGCCTGGCTGCCCTCACCCCACCCCACCCCACCCTACCAGTGGCCTCTGCCTTGGAATCAGTCTGCCTGCTCTCCAACAGCTTTTCAGCACTCTTCTGTCTCAGATAGGAGGGCCACGGTTCAGCCTCACAAGTTTGTCAAGAAGCCACATTCTAACTGCACCTGCTGGCCTTATAAGGGGCCTTTCCACTGAGACATTTGGAGTGTTGGATTTTATTGCGGGAACTTTGTGATGCACCTCAGGGATACAAAGGCCAAATGCCAGAGCTGTGTCACCATCGTATTAAGGAGAAAGGGACTGTGCCACTGTTTCAGGGCAGAGTGGTGGTGGGACGAAAAATTCCTGTGTTCACTCAGCCCTTGTTGAGCACATATTGGATACTGGGTCCACAGGGGAAACAAGCCTTAGTCCTCCTCTCTGTCTGGAGAAGACACACATACATCTAAACAAATACTAACAAGAAAATGTGCACATGAGGTGAGGCTGGGGAGGGGTTTCCAGAGCAGAACCACAGGCTAGCACAACTCCAGGGGGTGCCAGGAACTACTGGAATCGTACAATGCTGCAGCCTTATTTCTGGAACTGAACCCTGGCCTGGGCTTGAGAGATGAACAGCTGTTCTAGAGGCAGAGAAGGAGGTAGAGGTGGGACAAAGGCTTTTCTAGAGTCTTCTGATCTGTAGTCAGACGTGTTATCCATTACACCACTGGCCCCTCCAAGGGTTTTCTAGATGAAGGAACCAGTAATAAAAAGAAAAACAGGTGTGAAAGGACATTCATCCTCCAAGCTGTGGACTGGCATGGCAGCAAATGCTTGGGCCTCCAGTGAGGGTATCTTGAGTGCAAATGAGAGCCAGAGGGTCTGATCCAGGACACTGGGAATTTTTGTCCTAAAATAGTTTCCAGGCTCAATTTCTTCCCACAATTTCTCAGCCAAGAGAATTGGTCTCATTTTCTACCCTGTTTGAAAAATGGAAAGAACTTTCCTGGCCAGAGGCAGAATTGCAGAGTGGTTAAGAATACAGGAGCTTGAGTGGCTCACACCTGTAATCCAAGCGCTTTGGGAGGCTGACGCAGGAGAATCTCTTGAGCACAGGAGTTTGGGACCTGGACAACATTGCAAGACCCCGTCTCTACAAAAAAATTAACAAATTAGCCAGGCGTGGTGGTGCATGCCTGTGGTCCTGGCTACTTGGGAGGCTGAGGTGGAGGACCACTTGAGCTCAGGAGTCCAAGGCTAAAGTGAGCCATGGCACTCCAGCCTGGGCAATGGAGTGAGACCCTGTCTCAAAAAAAAATAAAAATAAAAATAGTAAAGAGCTTGAGCACCATTTTAAACAAGCAATCCAAGTTACTGTCACTAATAAGGGGACAAACGTCTTGATGCGATGCACTGAGAATACTACATTGAGTGTGAAGTATTCTTGACAAAAATGCATCACTTGAATGGAATCACAAGGAAATATCAAACAGACTCAACCTGTTTACAAAACAAAGGATGTTTACAAAACAACTAGCCTGCAGTATTTAAAATGCCGGGGGACATGAAAGACAATAAAAAGGCTAAGAAACTCTTCCAGATCAGAAGAAACTAGAGACATAAACATGTGATAGGCAGATGTCAGTGATGAGCTGTCACTTCTGAGATTAGGTTACAAAGGACTGAGACCTCCGTCTTGCTAAAATTCTTTCTGGCTCTTCTCAGCTTGCTTGTTCTGATGAAGCAAGTTGCCAAATTGTGAGCTGCCCTCTGGAGAGGCCCATGTTTCAAGGAACTGAGGGATTCCTGGCCAACAGCCAGCCAGGAACTGAAGCCCTAAATCCAACAGTCTGCAGTGACCTGAATCCTGCCAACAATCACTGAATGAGCTTGGAAGCAGATTGTATTGCACTTGAATTTTGAGATGACTGTGGCCAACACCTTGGTTGCAGTCTTGTGAGGGACCCTGAGCTAAAGAGCCCAGCTAAGCCACGTCTAGATTCCTGACCTATGGAAACTAAGATGACAAATATTGTTTTAAGCTACTAAGTTTGTTATGCAGCTAAATTTAACTAATACAACCACTAAATGCAATGTGTCATCCTGAACTAGATCCTGAAACTGAAAAAAAAAAAATTACTATGAAAGACACTATTTAGATAATTGGTAAAATATGAATAGTGACAAAATAGGTAATATTGTCTCAATGATCCTGGGTCTATGTTTAGAAAATGGTTTCCAATGCTAAGAGGATTTAAAACTCTTATAATGGAAATTATAATAGTAATAGGAACCTGCTTGTTGCTTCCCTGTGTGCTGCCCTTGCTCCTTCAAGTAATAAAAAGTTTTGTTACTACCTTATTCCATCAAAATACTTCAGCACAAGTGTACTACATGAATTACTATCTATCTGTCTTACAAGAAAACCTAGATAGTGAAGAATGAAGACGAGAACTCCCACTAATAAGTGAGTGCTAGTTGTACTGTGGTTTTATAAAAGGATGTTTTGTTCATTAAAGGTTTTGTAGCAGGACCAGTCTTAGACAAGACCTCTTGGACACCAGTTTTAGGAAGGAATAGGCTTTAATCAGCTGGGAGCATCGGTAGACTCACATCTCAAGATCCGAGCTCCCTGAAGTCAAGATTCCTGTCCCTTTTAAGGGCTTGCAACTAACTAAGGGGTCCAAGTGAAAGGGTCATGATACACTGTGCAAGCGGGGGCTACGTGATTGGGGTTGCATGCACCAGTGATCAGAACAGAACAGAACCAATCAGGGAGTTACACAATGCTTCCTCATACAACGTCTGGAATCTATAGATAACATAAGTGATTAGGTCAGGGGTCGATCTTTAACTGCCAGGCCTGGAGTGTGGTGCTGGGCTGTCTGACTATTGAATTTCACTTCTGCCTTTTCTTTAACTCCTATTTTCTCTTTCCTTTGAGGCAGAAATTAGGCAGAAGACAATATGAGAGGTGGTCTCCTCCCTTACTCCCCTCTTTGAGAATCTCACTTATTAGTGGGAGTTCTCATCTTCATCTTCGCTATCTAGGTTTTCTTATGAGATAGATAGATAGTAATTCATGTAGAACACTTGTGCTGAAGTATTTTGATGGAATAAGGGAGTAACAAAACTTTTTATTACTTGAAGGAGCAAGGGCAGCACACAGGGAAGCAACAAGCAGGTTCCTATTACTATCATAATTTCTACTATATGAGTTTTAAATCCTCTTAGCGCTGGAAACCATTTTCTAAACATGGACCCAGGATCAAACCCATGCCACACTTGCATGGGCACATGTGCCAGCTTTGTTATATCTTTAACTATATTTTTAACTACTTGCCCTTGGTCATCTATGTGCAGGCAGCAATTGGTTAAATTTCCCACAAACTCCTCTTTCAGCTGCTAGCAAGTAGTCTAGGGCTAGTCTATTCTGATAAATGGCATTTCTCATCAGGGTTTCTTGCTGGGCTAAAACAGTCAAAGCTCTGCCAGTTTCATTAGTGATTCTTTCTTTTTTTCTTTTTTTTTTTTTTGAGATGGAGTCTTGCTCTGTCTCCCAGGCTGGAGTGCAGTGGTGCGATCTCGGCTCACTGCAAGCTCCGCCTCCCAGGTTCACGCCATTCTCCTGCCTCAGCCTCCTGAGTAACTGGGACTACAGGTGCCCCCCACCACACCTGGCTAATTGTTTTTTTGTATTTTTAGTAGAGACAGGATTTCACTGTGTTATCCAGGATAGTCTCGATCTCCTGACCTCGTGATCCACCTGCCTCAGCCTCCCAAAGTGCTGGGATTACAGGCCTAAGCCGCCGCGCCTGGCCCATTAGTGATTATTTCTAAGACAACTTGTAAACATATAATCTGGTTGAGCATGTAAATGGGCGTTTGGTATCCCTACGTGCCATACTGTGCCCATGTGGCAGACCCATAGTACTGTATGATTCTTTCAGGGGGCCACTCGTCATTTTTCCAGTTGCCTATGGCTATGCTCCTCTTTTCTCGGGAAGCATAGACAGGGAAGCCTAGGAGCTCACCTGTTTTTATGGGCAGTAGGAAAAAGGATGGCTTAATGGTGCTAACAACACAACTACCTGCCCATTGTTCTGGTAGCTTGGTGTAGGCTCTATGCCCGCATATCCAGTATAGTCCAGCTGGAGCCATTCAGTCCCGGTGAGACTCTGGATGGGCCCGAACAGTTTGCAACTTAGGAAACTTACTAAATGGATTCTTCT